TTTTATAAAGAATATCTCTTTGGATTTGAGACTTTAGTCTTTGCAACTTTACAGATCTTCTTTATGCACCAAGAGCTTTTAACACTCCAAAGAGAAAGGAAAAATTGAAATCGCATCATATGACCCCTTTAATGTCGATCATGGATCAAATCCATCCACCATGGCAAACAGCGAATACATTTTTGCTGTTTAATGCATTTGAGACGTTGTGTTTTCCTCAGTGCATAACTGACATGTCACAGGTATATTTTTTATCTGTAAATGTTAGAAAGTCATGCAAATATATCCATTTTGCTGTCAGGAGTGGGCGAGGCTTACGCGAGTGAACGAGCGCTGCGCGCATGCGCGCTAAACAGACGGAGCACAATCGGGTAGTAGCGTAATAATTCGTAATAATGCGTAAATGTGTCTTTTGTAGAATTTTAAACCTACATATAAATGCATTTTTATGATAGCAGTAACTGTAAAGGGACTATTTTAATGTGTACATCAAATATAAGCTAAATGAGTTAATGTGTGTTTCTTATACCAGTTAAAATATAGTAATTTTCTTTATTTATTAAAATTTGTAATTCAGTGATTTTAACTTTTAATTTAGTTATTTTAATGCTTTAAAGAGCGATTTTAGACTGTAATGTTCTAATGTTCCGCTAACTATAAAAGGTACAGCTGTAATAAAGCCAGAGAGAAAGGCTGCATGGCTAGAAACTGTAAAAAAAATAAATAAATAATAATAATAATTGTATGTGAGAGAGTCGGAGCTTGATCTAGGCCTATGTCTAATTTGCTTTATGGAACCAAATCATTTGACAATGAGTCAGACTAACTGAAATAAGCCTGGCTTATTTGGTAAACTTGTCTTATGAAACAGGCCTCGAGGCATTAGAAGTGATCATATTTTTTCCATTGCATCGAATCGCATTTTGTTGAATCGAATCGAATCGAAATCGGATTGCACTGCATCGTAATAGGGGTGAATCGTATCGTATCGCATCATATGTATCTTTAATGTATCGTATTGTTGGCTATGCATCGAGATGGGTATCGCATCGGCCCCATTATGGAGATGCACATCCCTATAAGTCAGGCTTAAAATGCAAAACTCCATTTTATACCATATTGCTGCATTTACTGTATGCCATGTCATAGACTCGTAACACATGACAACCCGAGACATTTTACTCAGAGCTGTTCATGTACTCAGACTTAGGAATTATGAGTTTCTATGGAAACACTATTAACAATCAATGCTAATTAATTTCTTGCATTATTAAGACATTAACAACACAGGAATTAAATGGAAAAAATACAAAACAACTGCTTAACTAGATTTAATCTTGCTGAAACAGCAGCCATTTTGAGTGTTTCTGCATGAAGTTTCAGGAGTCAGATGGCCAAAGTCTGAACTCTGAAGAAAATTCAGAGTTAAAAAGTTGTAATTATGGTGAATCCGACATGGTAAGAACGCATCTTATGTAAGGGGGGTCTATGATCAGTCTCTATATCAACCAAAGGGTCCTTGTCCTGAACAAGACTGAAGACCCCTAATCTAAATTCAATTAAGTCTATTAAAAATATTAAGCTAGCAAACAGTGGAAACACTATACTCAAGTGAATTTAAAAACAATGTAATGGCTACAGACCAGAAATTCACCCCCAGATTCAAATTTGCTCTCTATTTCTTTGCCCAGATCCCCATCAGGCAGCTTGAGGTCCTCACGCAAATCTCCATTATCTTTCAACAGGGAAAGGTAGCCATCGGTAATGCCAACCAACTGTACAAAAGGAAAGACAGAAAAGCCACATTATTTCAAAACACCACAGAATCAAATCTGGTTTAAAGAGTTTAATAATAAAACAAGTACAAATGTCATATGTGAACATGACTGATGAACATAGATAAAAAAGGCCTAAAGGTGATTATGGTCTGAACTTACTTGATAGTCCAGTCTCTTGATGTTAGGAACATCCATGTTGTGGGTGGAGGGACAGATATCTTCATTTTTCTTTCCAGTAAATATGTAAATTCCAACCAAGTGCACCTGAAAAGGAAATGAATGATTTTTAATGATCACGTTACAGATTAAATAAAATGCAATGTATTATGAAATTTGGCCTGTAATTATAAGCATTTGACAGTGAGTTTATTAACATGATACCTTGGCATGTCCATGCTTGCCAGTCCTGGATGTAGACATCTCCACAATCTTGCAGGGACGCCCCTTTAGCACCACAAAGCCATTCTTACGCAGAGCACTGCACTGCACGGGGATGGTCAGAGAAGCCCCAGCATCTCCACTGGTGAAATCAGTATCAAGATCAGTCATGATGGATTAAGCATCACACACACTCAATTCTCTCAATTCTCACACTCAATTCTCAGCCCCACACACACAGGACTTCACTTCTCTTTCTAGCTTGTACTTATTTGAACAATGTCTAAGAACTTGGTATTACAACCACTTCCTGTGTCTGTTTGCCTCTTTAAGAAGAATCGCTTTATGTATCCCCCAATTGTAAGTCGCTTTGGATAAAAGCGTCTGCTAAATGACTAAATGTAAATGTAAATGTAAAATGTTAAGCGTAGAGGATTCTGTGCACAGAAGAAAATGGCAATGATACATGGTATTTACATAAGCAAGGTTCTTCACAGAACACAGATACATGAAAAATTATGAAAAATCAAAGTTATTTGCATGGTACTACCATGACGCTATGCTCAAAAACCCTTAGCAATACCACAATACATGTACAAAAACATTACTTTTTTTGGTAGTTTTTAAAGAGACAGTTCACCCCAAAAAAGGAAACTTGTGTTATTTACTCAGCCTTGTGTTGTTTTAATGTTGTGCCTGTATTACTTGCTTTCTTTACTGGAACATAAAAGATAACATGGGAAATGTCTCAGTTTCTTTTTCATACAATGGAATCAACAGTAACCAAAACTTTTAAGTTCCACAGAAGAAAGTCATACAGGTTTGGATCAACATGAGGGGGAGTTTTTGGGTGAACTGTCTTTGTAAGTGTGGTAAAACATTATTAGTTTGCTGAATTGAAGATTGAAAAGTTTCATTTGTCTGGTAATCTGCATACAATAGACTTAATTCAGCAGAGAGCATGTTAAAGCTAAACCAACTTTTGGCCTGGTTGAAGTGCTCTAATAGAATAGACTGTAGACTGTTGGAATGTTAACTTAAAGCTGCAGTCCGTAACTTTTTTTGGTTAAAAACGATCCGAAATCAATATTTGAGCAAGTACATAACCAGCCAGTGTTCGTCTATCTTATAATAATGTTTTCAAATCTGAGTGGTACTGGTAGGTTTTCGCAGGAAATTCGAGCATGGCACTGCGTCATTACGTCACGTCTGTAAACATAAAGAAGTTGTCCCGGCTACTAGGCTATCGCATGTGACTGAGGATAATGCAGGTGGCCGATCGTTTATAGCCTTTTCTCACAGCAGCTAGAATAATTTAATTTATCATTTTGATGGCGGATTGTAATCCAGAAAGGATTATGTGTTTATGAAACACATGTGAATGAAATTAAATTATATTCCA